CTTGCGTATTGAAAATTTGCAATTTATATATAAACATGATATTTTTGTTACTGAAAGAGTATTTCGCGCAAGACACAAAAATTGGATTATGCAGCGTGGTTTCAGAATTGTCGTCGTTCACTTCTTCAAGAGTTCTTTGAGCAACTTGGAATACATTTTTTCGTAATGGAAATTTGATTGGATATTTGTTTTCTCAAACTTTCTGACTTTCCTCATTAAATATCTTAGTAATTAAACTCTCTTAAAATATAGTTCAATTGAAACCAGCTAAAAAAGCAGATTATCTGTCGTTATTATTCCCTCATATTTGCATAAAACAAGCCTAATATTTTAATAATCAGATTATCGTTATTATTCGTAAAATTGAATTCAATAAGATTTTTCTATCTTTATTCTCTTCAATATATCAACAACATCTATTATCATAGAAAATATTACTATATATACATATATACACACCCATATCGCTATAGCTGAGAAAATAATAATTTTGAGAACCTATTTACATAAGTAAATTCGAACTGTATACGAGTTTTCTTTTTTTATCTCTATTGTCCCTTGATGATAAAAAAAAAATTAACTTCGATTCTATCACGAGATTTCTGTTTGTATTAAAACTAATTATATGTCTTATCAATCAATTAATAATAATATGTCACAATATTATTATTTTGTTCGATAAAGTGCGCGCTTACTACACGCATCGTACTGGGATTAACGGGTCCATGTGCATCAGGAATTGCGAATGAAGCACTACTTACCGGTAGTGACCACGCTGGGCAGCACCCCGGTCGCGGTTACGGCCGAGGGTGTGTCGGGCGCGACGGTGTCTGCGACCTGCGTCTGCGTCGGTCTGGGGTCGTAGGTCGTCGTGCTGTCGACGTAGTCGGCGCTAAGCTCGTAATTCGTCATCGCCTGATGATTGTAATTCGTGTAACCGCCGGTGCCGGGACCCGACGACGCGTACTCGCTACCGCCGTATGTGTACCTGTCGAGGACAAATGATAGGTCCGCGTGAGTCGCGACCGTACGCGAGAAACGCGCAAGATTTAATCGGACAGAAGTAAGAGGAACGCGTGTTTTTCCACGGCGCCCATATTTAACTTTACATTGCGACAATGATAGCTACAACGATAGCTATACATTAAGCTGGCGTGTGCGCTCTTTATCAGTTACAGATTTTCTACGTTGAGTATACACTGTTAAATATTAAAGGATTAAATTTAAACCAATACCTTGAGCTAAATAACGTATTGTTACTTTTAAACTACCCTGTGTGTCGAAACTTATTATTTCAACACAGCAAAGTATTATTTTAACTCCATTGATTTAGTTAAACATTGCTTTAATTAGATTGACGATATATTGAGTAGGAGCAAGGCGAATTATAGGAATGGTTGAAAATGACTCAAATTGAGTATAATTTGACACTAAAAATTTAACAGTGCGCTACGAACAGATTCTACTTAATAAAGTACCGGGCATTTCTCAGAAATGTAGAAATATTTGATTGATAACGTACGTTTTTCTATTCCAAGACATACTTTTAGCCGAGCTTTTAGCCATACTTACCCGCCATTATAAGGATGATGTTGATCTGAACTACTCGGCGTCTGATGCTCGAACACGCTGCTGTCCGGCGCCGTCTCCGAAGCCGCCCTCATCTGCGCCCTGTGGAATCTGACTTCATCTTCGACCTTCTCCCGTTGTTTCTTCGACATGCGCCCAAATTTAACGGCTTTGAACAAAAGCAAAAATTTCATCGAGATTATATCAGATCATTTAAAAAAATTGAATTAATATTAAAAATATCACTTATTTGGATAACATTATATGACAATATAGTCACGTGCGATTGTTATGTTTGGACCGTATACTGATTGCGAGAAAATATTTTTTCAAAAAGCGTTAAAAAATTTTTTTTATTACTTCATGTTTCCATATCGAACAACAACGCAGAATTGTTTGCCTGAACAAAAAATAACAATAAAATCAAATTAAAAAATGTTTCTCTTGACTTTGACTGATTTAAACAAGAAAGTATATAGCGCAAAAAATACGAGTTATAAATATAAATTTCAGGAGCCTAAGAATTCTGCAAAATAACGCACAATTTAATTATTTAGTGCATTTTATAAAAACTTTATAAAAACTTATACTACGCATAAATTTCTTACCATAACCTTGTAAATATCGATTCTATCTTACATTTATTAGACAAAGTTATATGGGCGACATAAAAATTTTATTCTGATTTCTAGCGCAGCTTTCATCGCTGCAGACAAGGCAAAATATATGTATAATCGAATAGTGCAAACACTCTTCTTCGATTGTTTCCCCGTCTCTCTCTCTCTCTCTCTCTCTCTCTCTCTCTCTCTTCATTTTCGAACTCGTTATCGACAATTACGAACACTTATAGAATTCAACCCAAATATTATTTTATTGCTCGACTAACTGGCACAATGTAAAAGGTGCACTACGTTTCAGTTCAAGGTTCGAGCCCTTCTCAAGTGCGGTCTAAAATTCAAACAACATTATACAATACAATAACTATATAT